AAAAATATGTTATGTTTATATATTAAATATATTTATTTATAATATAATTTATATGAATATAAATATAGACATGTAAATACATATAAATATTTTCAAAATATATACTGTATGTGTGTGTATTTATATATACATAATAAATATACACAGAACACACACATACTGTATATTATGCAAACAAAAACCTTTATTTTGGATGCAATTAATCGATTGACAGCGCTAAAAATTATAAAAACTTAGACATAGACATATTTGAAAACAACAAAACTAATTTAAAAAATGGCAATTCACACAACAAAATTACAAAACATACCTTTAAAAAATATACTTAAAAGTAACACGAAAGCAGAAAATATAAATGATCAAATCTAGTTCAAAATATAAAAAACTATAATAGTATCTTGCATTAAAGTGCATTTTAGTTTAGTAAACATGTTTGTGATTTCAATAGAAAACAGAACACTCTATATATAGTTGGTTTAACTTAAAGGGGTCATCGGCTGCCCATTTTCCACAAGTTGGTATGATTCTTTAGGGTCTTAATGAAAAGTCTATAACATACTTTGGTTAAAATTTCTCAATGGTAGTGTAAAAAACACCTTTTTACCTTGTCAAAATCAGCTCTGTTTTCAGCAAGCTGTTTTAGTGCATGTTTCTTTAAATGCTAATGAGCTCTGCTCACCCCGCCCCTCTCTTCTGTGGGGTGACCAGCCGTTCTCATGAGACTGTTTAGCCACGGAACTTGCTAACTAGCACGTTATTAGAAAAGGCGATTAGCAAAGATTCATAAAAGAACCTTATACTCACTTCTTCTCTAGATGAGGCTGGATCACGAATTATTCGCGCAAACATAGACGCATTTAGGTAGATCGGGGGGCACATTCCCTTTCAACTAGTTTCCAAGGCAACGTTTATCATTTTCATTTAATTTAACTTGATGTACTGAAATTAAAAATTATTAGTGCTGTCAAACGATTAATCGCGATTAATCGCATCCAAAATAAAAGTTTTTGTTTACAAATACACACACATGCATGTATATATTTCAGAAAAAAAAAACATTTTTATATATTAAATATATTTATTTATAATATAATTTATATGAATATAAATATAGACATGTAAATGCATGTAAATAGTTTCAA